CTGTTTTATGTCTCTTTGTGGTATCTTTAAATATATACACCAATGAAAAGGCTTATAGTTTCCAGATTCTATAAAGCACACTTTACACTCATTTCTATCCCTTCACCAAAGAGGCTACATTGCCACAGGTCTCCCTTTTGCTGTACAGAACAGAGGCATTAATGAGGGGGAGTAGACATGGATCAGTATGTTAAAATAACTTAATAGGTCTGCTTTTGGCCAGGATGTAGTAGGTCATGGCAAGCCAACACTTTTGCTGCAACCACCAAAAAAGGGGCAAATAACTACAAAAAAAGGCGCATATTTTAAAATATATCAGAAAATAAGGAAATAGTGTAAACAAAAATTCCAGGGGGAGGAGACCCACTGTCTGAAATAAGCTGACAGTTGTTGGCCATCATTTTCCTTAGGGTCTGAGGATTGATCTTGTCCGATCAAGATCAATCTGCTGCGGGAAAGGGAGCCCAGCCAGTTTTTCAGCCTTCTTCTGCGGCTAGAGGGATCAAAAGGAAACGTGCAGGGTCTCAGTGATAGATGGTGACAGTGGAGCATCAGAAATTCAAGTAGAAAGTCGACTTGTGCCAAAAGACATTTTGATATGGTTGAGATCTCAAGAATCAGGATTAGGACACAGTGATCCACCTGACACAGAGTCTACACAGAAATGAAGAGTGGAGCCGGTGAGCAGATGGGACACAGCCCAGTCCTCCTACCTCATCACCTCTCACAACTCCAGAGGCTGGTTCTGCTCCTCTTCTACCTCTGCACTAGCACCAATTCCTGCATCAAAGGTACGAGCAGACGGAAACCGTCAGAGGAGCACCGGGTTCAGGGCTGACGGGTTATGTGAGTGAACCAGAGCCAAGCTCCTTCCTGGAGAGCAAAGGAACCTTGGACGGAAGCACAGGATGAGCTCATCTACAGATTTACCTTCGGGTGCTTCGAAGCTCCACGGTCCAGGAGGAAATCTATGAGTCTATCCCTGATGGTATTAAGACCTGATGACTGTGCCAGGCCTTCCACCCACTGAGTCAAGTAGGTATGACTTCTTTTCTCTCTCAGGAAAGATGAACTGAGGACATTTTCCTTGAAGGGGCCAGAATCTTTCATTCTTACCAAGAGCTGCATTACAGAATCCCAGCAGCAGCTCTGGGCTGCCAGCTGTGCAGAAGTGACAGAAAAGCAACGCTGTAGCTAGTGATTCACAAGTGGAATCTTTCTGTGATAGATTCAATCACAATCAAAAATTTTGTTTTTAAACTCCACTATTCTTGGCATTATTCCAGCATGTATTTTTGCTCTAAGAAGCTGTAAAAAAGAATGTCAAATTCCAGTTTCCTGGTGCACTTCATCTGTCACCATAAAAATACAGTTGAAACTGGAGTCAGCAGAAGGACTGGTTTCTGGGTCTGTTAACTTTAGTGAAACTGAAGAATTGAAACTCTATGTCAGGACCCTCGGAAATATTTTATCCCCTTTATTTCATCCTCATCTTGATGTATAATCAGCCGTATGTAACAGTTTAGTGTTTATTTATTGAAACGAAGCAGATATATGGTGCATGAATTAACCTGTAAACAATTTCAGTTTGGTCTACTTGTCATTCAAGGTGTGTACTCAATTTAGAATGGTTTCTGCTCACTCAAGTCTCCCTCTCACATGCTTAGTGATTAAATATTTAGATTTACATCAAGCACCTGACACCACCATAAAAAAGACCACACTGAAAGGAACTACAAAGTGCAATAAAGGCCTCAGAAAATTAAATACAATCTTGAGAAACACTGCCAATATATGAGAAGACAGGATAGCATATATTTTTATTTTGTTTTATTTTGCCAATTATGTATATTGAGTTCACATAAATAAAAAGAAGCCACGTAAAATCTTGATGGATTCTAAAAAATACTCGAAAGTGTTCTAAAAAAAATCTGTCAAAGTCTAGCTTAATGTGTATGACATTGTTTTGCTTAATAATGGCCTCAATTCGAATTTTGATATAAAGAATTCATAGAAAATTAGGGCCATTTTAGGAGTTAATCTGAGGCAAGTTTTTCTGGTTATAAGGAAACATTTAATTTATATGTTTTTATTCTTATAAAAATTCTAGTAGAGGAAAATAAAACACCAAATATCAATGTCATTAGCAAATATAACTTTTATCATTGGATGTACTACTAGTTTACATATATAAAACAGATAGTGTAAGAATGTTTTATCTTTGAATGTAAATCCATTTAGAAATACCTAGATTTATTCATTTTCACGCTGCTGTTTGCACATGGGTCAGCTGGGAAGTTTAAACAGTTGCCATGTATTAAAAATATAATACTAGTTGCAGATAATTTTTAGAACTCAATCTTTTATACCAGTTTAGATTCCCCTGTTACTTCCTTTCATAACACCCTTTTTATTTCCTTCATTTCATTTGTTAAATTATAATACGTGATTAAGTGTGTAATTTTTGGTATAGTGACTTTCCTGTATGTTCTGGATTCCATGAGAGCTGGGACTATGTTTTCTTGCTCACTACGCTATACTTAACATTTAGTCCAGTGCTTAAAACATAGACGTGTTCAAAAAAGATGCTCTTAATGAATAAAGAACTGAATGATCTGCACCAGGGGTGGGAAAGCTATGGCTCAACTCCAGCCTGCTGCCTGCTTTATATAGCCCATGACTTAGGAATGCTTTTTCCATTTTTAAACAGATCTACTTTTCAAATGGTTATATAAGTACCTCAATAGTAACCTCAATTTTGCCTGTTGGCCCATAAATTCTAAAATCTTTACTATCCAGCACTACAAGGAAAAAAGTTTTCTGACCCTGATCTAGACCAGCACCGTTCAATAGAACCACTGTGATGATGAGAGAGTTGTAGGTTTGTGCCGTCCAGCAGGACAGCCACGGACCGCCTATGGCCAGTGAGCACATGAATTTGTCCTATGTGCATGAGGGACTGAATTTTTTATTTAGTTTTAACTAATTAAAATAATCCCACATGGCTAGCAGCTAGTGTGTTAGAAAGCAGCAGACCTAGAGATCAAAAAGAATAAATCTCATGTAAATACAGCAGTTACCTGGAGATCAAGAATATCTATGGAAAAAAATTAAAATATGAGCCTATTTAGCAGTTAGTTAGTCTTTCTGGTAAAAAAAAAAAAGAACACAAAAATAAGCTAAATTATCTACCACCAGTTCATTAAAATAACTAATGTTATGACAATACTTTGAAAAGGCCCAAAGGTAAAAATTAATTCATTTAATTTGATAGTTACACAGAGACTCATTTAAAATAAGTAGTGGTCCTTCATTCTATGAACTGTGGATGAGAAAAGCACTCTTTTGGATAAGGTAGATAATGTTAATGCTCTATTAAATAAATGAAGAATTTTGCTTTTATGAGGATTTTAAAGCTTTTCTTTGCCTTGTTGAAGGACACATCACTTATTTACAAAGAAATTCTTGAAATACATAGAATCCTATTAAAGCAGAATGTTCTACAGCACAGTAGGAGAATATCAGATTAGCAAAAGCAGTGATATAATCTGATGATATCCTCAAATAGTTAGCATTAAAGTAGGTATTAAAGTATTTGAGAAGTAAAGATCCAAATTGCAACGTGAAGTTTATTAACACCCACGTTCACATAAGATTTCAAGTCTTTAAGTTGAAGACGCTCTTAGTAGGAAATTTGAATTATGTGCTATTTAGGATTGAAATTGCTTGCTGCTGTTATTTATAACACTTGAAATAAGTTTAAAAAATTAAAAATTGAAGCAATCTCCTTTTCTTGCTTATGCTGTTTCTGACATGTCTATGTATGAAATAGTATCTCCCTGAGTAAGACTACTTTGGCTGCCCTCTTTTGTTTCAAATGATTTTATCATTAGGGAAAAATCTGAAATCACAGTGGACAAATAATCCCTTAATGCTTTTTCTGGCTAGCAAGTAATTTGTCAAAACAATCCAATTTCCAAATAGCAAGCACACTCAATAAGACACTGAGCCAATACATCTGTTCCTCTCTGTATTCAGAGTATGGACAAATGCCTTTCATTTTGGGTTGAATTCTCTAACTTGACAATTTAGCTCTAGCAACAAAATATCCTTTATAATTTCTCTTCAATAAAACTAGAATTTTATAGAAGTCAGGTTTTATTGAGATATAACTCACATGCAGTAATATTCACCTTTTTAAAGTATATAGTTTAATAAATTTTGCCAAACATGCAAGTTGTGTGTTCACCACTCAAATTAACATGTGGGCCATTTTCATCACCCTAGAAAGTTCCCTATGCCCCTTTGTAGACAATCTCTCCCTTTACCTGTAGCCCACTGGTAACCAGTGATCAATCTGTTTCTACCATTTTGACTTTTGTAGAATGTCGTATAAACACAGCATGTAGTCTATTGCGTCTAGCTTATTTCACTTAGCCATTTACTGTGATGCTTTGGAAATTCATCCATGTTGTTGCTGATGTCAGTAGTTCATTGCTAGGTGCTGCTGAGAAGTATGCTGTTGTATGAATATACTACAATATCTTTATCTGTTTTTCTATTGATGGACTTTTGGCTGCTAAGAATAAAGCAACTATTAACATTTGCTGTACAAACCTATGTTTTCATTTCTCTTAGGTAAATATCTATGAGTAGAACTGTTGGGTCATATAGTAAGTAGGTTTAACTTTATAAAAATCTGTCAAGTCATTTTCCAAAATAGCTATCATTTGCATTTCCATCAGCCTTCTTTAGAGCTCCAATTGTTCTACGTTGTCTCCAACAGCCAGTATCATCAATCCTTCTAATTTTAGCCATTCTAAAGGATGTGTATTGGTTCTCTCCTTTTAATTCATATTTTCCTGATGATTAATGATATTGAATATTTTTGTATTTGTTCATTGCTGTTTGTATCTCTTCTTTGGTGAAAAGTGTGTGTAAATTTCTTGCCTCTCTTTTTACTGAGTCTGACTATTTATACTCTACCTACAAGCTTTTTATCAGGTATGTGCTCTGCAAGTATTTCTTACCAATCCGTGTTCTGCTTTTCATTTTCTTAAGTGTCTTTTGAAGAGCAGACATTTTAAATTTGATGAAGACCAATTTGTCAAATTTTTTGCTTAGGGTGTATGTTTTTTATGTCCTAAGGAACATATCCTTAACCAAAGGTCATAAATATTTTCTCCTACATTTTATTTTGATTTTTCTTTTTAATTTGCACTCACATATTTAGGCCTAAAATCCATTTCAAGTAACTTTTTGTATGTGATATGTGGTAAAGGTTGAGATTCTTTTTTTTTTTCTTTCATTTTGATACCTAATTGTTTAATTGTTAGCACCACTTGTTAAAAAGAGTATTTTTCCCCATTAAATAGCTTTGACACCTTTGTCAAAAATCAACTGACTAAATATGTATGGGTCTGTTTCCAAACTCATTAGTTTGTTCCATTCATCTGTGTAGCTATCTGTAAATAGATACCATATTGTCTTGATCTATAGTTTTATAGTAAATCTTCATTTTATTTTTTAAATTTTTGGGGGTTTTGTCTGTTTGTTTTGGGGGAGGGATAATTAGGTTTATTTGTTTGTTTGTTTATTTTTATGGAGGTGCTGGATTGAACCCAGGACCCCCTGCATGCTAAGCATGCACTCTACCACTGAGCTGTATCTTCTGTCCTATAGTAAGTCTTTAAAGTGAATACTGATACCCTCCAAAAATCTAAGTACTCCTGAAACAGTTGTCTATTATATAGTGTAGGTAGAAGTTTGCACTGATGTGAGAAGATATCATTCCTCCAAAGACGGAGGAATGGCTATTCTTACTAGTTATCTTAGGCGGTCTGCTTTCCTGTGTTCCACAGACAGGGGGTTTACTGAACCCAGGGGGATTCACAGATAGAATTCAGGGCATCCATAATCTTGGATCCTGGAGAAAACTTACTTCTTTCTCATCTTTGATTGAAATTCAGTGTTTCCTTTAGGTATAAATGCGGACAACAAACCTCAGTAGTACTGACAGTACCTGAAACTCTTGCCAATAGAAGGTACAGATCTTCTCCTGTCACATTACAGTTGTGGCTAATATCTTCAAATACTGCTTACACTGATTGTTACCTCAAAATTATAGTAGTTTTTAGAACTGCTACTTGACCTTGTTACTTAATGCATAATAAAGAAACACATGTATTATCAAATTACAATCTTAAAAAACTCTTTTGGTAACTACCTCAGTAGGATTGGTTTCCTTTGTCATATAATGTATTTTACTACATAGTAAAAAAATTGTTTGAGAAGGGGCCCAAAGGCATTTCAGACTGGCAAAGGGGTCCCTGGCACAGACACGGTTTAGCTCTACCTTCTGTGTTCCGATTCCACAGACCTACTGTGCAGGTTGTCCCTCTACCCTAGGAGGTCCATTCAAAATGTCTTTAATGCTTCAGTTTAGAATATTGCAAATATTACCAGCTTTGTGTTATTTCATCTTCTATCACATATAAAATAATCACAATATATAATATATAATGTATTATATTATTTTATCTTATTCATAAATGTGAGATTGAACAATGCTCCACATCAGAAGATTGAAGGGTGTTTCTCATGATTCCTGCCTTCGAGGAAGGAGGCCTGACACACGACACACACTGCTCATGCGCTCCCATGAGGACACACAGAAGTGACCTAGATGATGTCCTTACCCCTCGCTTGGGTGGTGCTGGAGGTGTGGGCAGAGTATCAGCCAATGCCTCCCACAGGAAATGACACGTGCGAGGAAACCTAGAGAACGAGGAAGCATTAAACAGAATGAGAAGAGACTTTCACACAGAAAAATGTGTGAGCGTGAAACCTGACTCTGCCTGCAGTCCCGGGGCAGAGGAACGGCCCAGAGAGGAAATGCACACTGCTGGCCTCTCAACTCCCCATCCGCATGTGTCCAGAAAGACAATCTTTCTCACAATGCAGAAGGCAAGCGGCCTCCCAGTCTGGATGAGAATACTCAGCTAGCATTTACCATTCTATGCTGGCAGGTGGAGTTCTTTCTCTCAGCCTCTTTTCCCTGCCTCCTACCCCTAGAAGCTGCTAGGAGTGCAGAGCCCTTGGCTGACAGAGCCCTTCTGGAAAGGCCGGTCTCCATGTCCTGCGCCATCCTCAGTGCATCCTCCACCCAAGAGCTCTCCAGTGCGCCTCCATGGCTTTTACAAGCTCCTCCAGTCCCAGACTAGTGAGGGGCGCAGGGTCGTGTGCTTAGATGCCATGGTGCAAACGGTCGGGACACCTGGGGACAGACTCACAGTCCCAACTTCCCCATCAGCCCAGTCTGGAGGGGTGGGGGGTCTCCTCCCACCTGGACTACATGAGTCATTTATTACATCCTAAACAGAGATTATTAGCAAGAGACATTCCTATTTAAACTGTCGTTGAGCATTTCCTCCAGCCAGGCAGCAGCAGGGGCTGCTCAGCTAATTAGGGACTGACTGACTTCTCAGCACCGTTAGCAGCTGTGCCCAAGCCTTGCCCACCTGCATCTGCCACGGCACTGGGACCACTCCTTTGTGATGGGCTCTGTTTTCACTTTGTGTATCAAGATCTCAATGGAGCAACTGCCAGCCGCATATCTAGCTAGGACAGGGGTGTACATGAAAAATCTTTACATTTTTGAGGGTTGCTGTTTAGTTCAGGGAATTGTTTCACCTTATTCAATTATCCTGATGGGAAACAGGCTGCCTGTCCTGGGGAGGGGGCTCCTGCTTCCAGCTGCTGAGGTGAAGTAACACTTTCTGAGGAAGAGGATGGTACCCTTTTTTGCACCATCCTCCGTAGGTTTTGTGTTTGGTTTTGTTTTGTTTTGTTTTTTGAGGACATTTTAAATAATGATCATCAACTTCATGACTTCACTTACGGGGCATTATTCTTTTCTCTCAGAAGACAGCCTTAGTTTTTTTTTTTTCTCCCCTGGAGGATCAGTGTATTCATTTCCTCCCTTTCCTCTCCAACATGTTCTGAATGCTTTCACTGCTAGGCACAGGATAAACAGTAAAAATGATAGATCTCCTGCCCCTCTAGGTCAAATAAAGGAACACAAACATTTTAAAATAAAGTGCAATAAAGTGGTATTGATGCTGTCATAGTCATCTGGGCAGAGTATAGTTGGGACGTAATAAAAGGATGGTGATTTAAGTGTGGGGGCAGGCTCGTAAATACTGAAGGACAACAGAGCGAAGTGTTGACAGGAAGAGAAAGGGATGTTAGCCTTCCTGGAAGAGGGATTGGTGAGAGCAAAGTCCAGATGGAGACAACACTTGAGATGTTGGGAGTCACAGAAAGTCTGGATAATTTGAAACTTGCGTTAGATGGAGTGCAGAGAAAGATTAAATGGATGAAGTAGGCAGAGAAAGCATCATAGAGGATTTGGACACCATGCTAAAGAGTTTTGATTTTCTTATAAGAAAACGGGAAAGCTATGGAAGAGCTATAAGCAGGGGTTAGAGACTGACGCCAAGGAAACCAAAAGGGCAGTTATGAGGCTCTGTACTTAGACAGTAGCAGAGGGACGGGAGAGGGGAGGCAGTGAAGAGAAGCTTTACACCTTGAGAGGAAATGATTCTCTTCAGCATGGCATTCAAGGCTTCCATCTCTAGGACCCTGTCTGGTCTTATTTCCATACTCACCATTTACATTAATCTACTTTAAGCCCCTAAAGGAGTCATGCTGTCTCATGTTTCTGCAATAAGTGTTGCTAGTCCTTACTGAAAGGTTATTATATATACAAGGATCACTATTACATCATCTATCCCTTCTCACAACCGCATGTGGTCAGTTACTGTTTTTCCCTCAGTTGACAGATGGAGAAACTGAAGCACAAATAAGTTAAGTAACCTAACTAAGGTCACACAGCTAGTGAAGGACACAAATGAGATTTGACCTCCATCAGCCTCTTTCTAGAATCCATTCTTTTAACCACTATTTATAGCACTATCACACTGCCCCTTCTCTTAAAAGAAAGACCTCTCTTTCTTCACTTAGCTTACCTAATACTCCACCACCACTTAATTCAGCTTCTGCTTCCATCAACATTTTGAAAAATCGCTCACCAAAAGTATCAATAATAGACTCCAGTGGGAACTTTTTCATTTTCTTCTACTTGAGTTTTCAAATGCTTTCAACCACTGACTACTCAATAAGCCCTGAAATATCCTCTTCCTTGATTCATATGATGATCTGCTGTTGGTTTTTCTACTTTATCTCTGGATGTGCTTTCTCAGCCCCTTCTGTTAATCATCCTTCTCTACAGAAACTTCATATTGGAGTTTTAAAGATTCAGTCGTAACCCACACACCCAGTCAATTAATCTTCAACAAAGGAGGCGAGAATACACAATGGATAAAAGTCAGTCTCTTTGGCAAG